TTTTCAACTCCGACGAGAATTTGAGATCCAACATCTGCATCCCATTCAGGTTCGAGATGGACGTTGAGCAACTGAAGCGTTGCTGTCGGCAGTCGAACTGTGTTTCAAAGTGATCTAATAGTCTGTTCTGAAAAGTCGTCAGCGTCCCATACTTTCCGATGATAGTCTGACTAACCATCGTCTTCTTGCCAGTATCCTTAATAAACCTAAGTAATAGCTTGGTATTACATAATATAAATACCTTCTCTGCCGCTCTCACTTTCGCCACCCACCACTGCTCGTGATCATTGTCAAGACTATTGGTCAGCTTACGTTTAAGTTTCTTTCGCTCTTCGTTGTGTTCAAAGCCAGCTGAAATCAGTCTTCTCGCATTAATCGGTTCGGATGACGTCGCGGCAATCCAATAACCTTTGGTAACCACTAGATGTAAGCTAAGAACTGTCTTCACCCCTGTTCCTACAGAAGACTTAATATCACACCAGATTTCCTCAGGATGAGGATTCCTGTCACGTTTAGATAAATCCTTACCTAACTCCTCCCTAAATACATACTTAACGTCCTCACCTTACAACCAAGCACACAAAGGCTTTATTGCGATAAGTTTTATGTGACCAGTCAGACGCAGACATACATATGCCTATACAAATATATGATCGGAGCTTTTCCAGAAACGGAGACAATCCTCCACCGATCCCCTTCAACGACGACTAATAGCAATGTGATCTATCTGTGTCAATCGTTGGTTCCATGTCCACGGATGCCAAGTGAGATAGTGTCTTTCCTTATGCTTGAAGTTAGCGCTGGCCAGAAACAAGTGATTGTCGAAGCCGAATCGCAACAGACGACCGCTGGCATGGGGTTCCGCAGATACCACCGAAATGCCTTTTGGATTGGCTCAGCTCCCCTGCTTGAGCATTAAAGTCACTTGCCATTATGACTACATATGAACGTTTTACTTTCTGTAGCAAAATTGAGAGCTCATAGAATTCATTCTTCTCATCATCCCAACTGTAGTTGGTGGGTGCATGGGCGGAGATTATGAGTAGGCATCGGTTAGTCCTACGATCCTTTCTAGCTCTTACAAATCCGTTCGGTCAAACAGCATATAGACGGCTGTTGAATGGCATCCAGTCGGGAATTGTGCCTTCTGTTTTACAAATCAGTCCTATGCTTAGACCAGAGAGTTCAAGAGGACTACCAATTGAGTCTTTGGATACTAGTACGATGAATTTTGAAGATTCACTACAATGACCAGGTGAGATCAACTTCATAACCACACTCCGGTTTTGTAGACATATCTCAGGGACACAGAACACACCCATGGCTGGAGATTCTAGAGTTCTGACAATAAACGCCTGCTGTTCGATTTGGCACATGGTTTGGACACTGAACATCCATTTTGAAACAGATAGCGGTGACTCAGGAGACTAGGAATAAGGTTACGATGGCTTAAGTAGCTAACAATGGTCACGGGGTGCGAGATTGAATAAGTGGTAAAAGGCTTAGCATTGGTATAAGAAGATGAAGGTGAAGGAGGAGGCAGATGTATTAAGGGTGAGTTATATTTTATTGGATTTTGTATACTAATGGAAGCGTGCGGGCGGCTGACACTACGCAGCTGCCCACACCGTGGAAGGCCTTTTCCTCTTAAGGTACCTGAGAAAGAAAAAGATTTGTGCCACCGCAGAGCCCATGAGGCATCTGCTCGAAACGGTTGGTATGAAATCTGATTGTTCTAACGTTGGATAGCGAAAACACATACCGCCGGCAACGGAAGACCATGGGGCGTAGAGGAGTTTGTCATTTTTGGGACCAGCGTTTGCTGCCCCCCCCTGTCCCACAGGGAAGACAGAATCAGCATGGCGTTGCTGATCATTCACCGGAAGCACCTTACTACCGTCCCACTCAATCCAGCTAGTAGTACGACTTCATCCTCGAACCCCATCATGGTGTGACAATTTACACGATAGGGGTAACTGTTTTCCATCTCATCACTATCCAACAGACTTTTCTGGCATGATAAAACCTCGAGGGAACAAGTGTTTCAGCCAGTGTAGCTCACTGGATCATTTCGATATAAAAACCCGACCATCACTTTAAGGTATTAGCTATTGGTTGGATGAGACACCAAATAAGGTAGCCCGAAAATGACACCAGAGGTTCAGATACATTCACATCCTGATCGTTATTTTGTGTTTCTTCCTTTGTCTTCTTTTCTTGGCTTATTGCTTTCTACAAAGACTTTTGATCCTACTAACATCATTTCTATGTTTTTTCGTCTTTTATTTTAGTGTACTGATGTGAAATGAAGAAATCATTGCACAATAATATCAGGCACTATTTTGAGAATTCCTGTATGTATTCAGTACATCGTAACCAACATAAGCAGAAGAATATATCAGTAGTAGACTGAAGTTAATAGTTGCATATTATTTAAAATCATGGTAACGGTGATACTCAAATAAGCATTTTCCGGCTACATGTACAGTAAAAACAAAATGTAATACTGTAGTGGGCGATCCTGATAAGAATGGATATAAGTAGTATATGTTGAGAGGGTGACAGAAATCATAGGGAATTACCAGCAATGGGTAAGAATTCTGCCTAGAGGAACGCAAAAGACAACGTGGGTGTATGAAGAGCAAATCAAGAGAGAAGCAGAAGAAGAAATGAATCACATTATTCGTGGGGGTCTCCATCTCCTGTGAGCAATCTGTCGTATTTCTTAACCAACTTCATGATGTTTGGCGCTTCTGGACATGGTGCTCTTGATACCTCACCACAATCTCTGCTACCTCGTTGTTTTCCTGCATGGTGAATGACCCGTACCTTGTCACCATTATTCCGGTTCTCGTGTTAATAACTGCACCCACTTCTCTCAGAAAATCACCACCTAGGATTGGCCGTTGTAGACACATGGTCACAATGAATAGAAATCTAATTCTCCGACTTCCGATCTTGACGATATAATCTGATAAGCCCACGATTTCTAATGCATGTCCCCCAACCGTGTGGACCGTTAGCGCACATGGTCTTATGTTCTGAGACTGACTCTTATCTATTAGAGAGACTGTCGCCCCCGTATCCATCAGACACACGATCTCTCGATAATTTATTCCTATTCTAGCATGCACAGAACCTCTATCTGTGGCTCCTACAACATCTAGTCTAGTCGGGAAAACAGAACTCATAGTATATCGTTCAAAACGTGTTCTTTTTCTCCTCTCCGGACAGTTTCTTCACCAGAGTCCCAGTTTTCGTATGCAAAGCATTCACTCTGTCCGTTTACATTCACTCGAAGTGCAGTCACTTCCTCCTAAAGGTTGTCGATCTGTTTTCCCCAGTTACTTACCTCCAGTGACTCCACCGCAGCTACTGCTGTACCCATTAGCTGTCTGGTTACCTTGGCCAGCTCACTAATATTCATGGATTGGGCTGCGTTCACTAGTTGTAGATGCTGGGCGATGGCATTCGGGACACTTTCGGTGGACTGTGCAGCCAGCAACTGCTCCTGGGAGTCCTCATCCAAAGTGAGAAGTGCTCGTCGAAGTGGTTTACTCAACTTCACAGCCAATACCAGCGGATTTTCGTCTATTCCAAGTTTCGTGCTCCAGGACTGCTGCATCGACGTCTCCCTGTCCACTGGACTGCCAACTCCGCCTCCAGGCGTTCAACCACCCTCTGCCAAGTCTCTTTCCCATCCCCAGGTTCCACACCGTCATATGCCGCTTTCGCTCTACCTCCCAGCAACGTGCCAAGTACCATAACCTTTGCTCCTAGATCCTGGACACCCGCCAGCTCCGCGACCGACTCGAAGTCCCTAAAGAAGACCTTGATGTCTCCATCCTTGAATACTGGAGGCCACGGAATTTTCATCACGTCCAGAAATAGCAACACCAATCGAAGGAAACGAGAAGACAAAGACGAAGGAAGGAATGTTTATTATTAACATGTGGTACAATAGTCGTTAAATACGGCACACCTTGCACTAAGACAGTCATTTCCAAACTGTGCCTCATTACATCTTCCGCTTGCTCTTCATATGCCCACTTTGTCTCTTGCGTTTCTCTGGGCAGAATTCTTACCCGTTGCTGGTAATTCCCTATGATTTCTGCCACCCTCTCAACATATACTACTTATATCCATTCTTATCAGCAACGCCCACTACAACAGCACTATAAAAGTACGACCAGACCAACTTGAATCGATAAAGCTATTCGACGCTGGAAATAAAATCCAAACTCATTCCGAAGGTTTATGGGGGGGTATCAATTTATTAATTTTAGACTATTGGAAACCTGGATCACTGGACAGCTGTTTCATCAAAGTATGGGCCCCATCAACGGTGCGCACCCATGATCCCGCCAGGAGTCGAACCCAGGACCTTCAGGTTTCGCGACCCGTAAATTGCCATTGAGCAAATGGGCTGAGATAAGATGGTACACATTTCCTACTTCTGTCAGTCCAAGAAGTAGAGTGACTTCAGCACTGCTGAGTCCCACACTGGGAAGAAACAACTATCCAGTTTTCAGGTTACCAGCAGCTTGCCAACTAATGTCATTCCGGGATGAATATCAACCCGAAATAAAAGTTAAACCTTATTATCAGCCAGATCTTATAGCTTGGCTAGTAGAGTAACAATTTACTGACTTTATAACCGTTGGTATTACTGAGTCGAGAATAACCTTTTTTCTCTTTTACCAGTGGTTGTCAGAAACAACCAGATTAATTATGAGTAAAGGCCAAATAGTTATATAGAGAGATCCAGCTACCACTAAGAACAAATATTTGCACAAATAAAACTCGTAACACATAGACAGAGACTATCAAAATTCAAGATATCAAAGCAAAATGACTACTATAGGTAAAAAAAAAGTCATGGAATGAAAAATTGTGCGTTAGGCTAAGACTGATATAAAAAAGATATTTATCATACACTTAAAAGCAAATTCCACATTTCAAGAAAATTAACTCTTATTCTATTTGTGGGATTGACTTACTTAGAAACAACATACATAAGAAGTTTAATTTGAAGATTGAGAGGAGGTCGAATCAAATTGAAACCAAATGAGCAGACAGATGATCCATAACTCCAGATACAATTTTTAATACACCTTATATATGATGGTGGAGGATTAGTACCTTCTCTAATCAATGAACGTAATGAAGAAGGGAATGAAGAATTGAAAGCTTTACGTAATCCATTTTGACATGAACGGCAGTGAGCTACATTCAATCCAATACCTGAACCATGAATTGGTGGTCTAGGTGTAGAAAATCTAGTGGATTTAACTGTTTGAATATCTGAATTAGTTCCAGTAGAACTTTTTGGACTAAGATCTGATTCATCCTCTATTGTATTGCACAGAAATGTATCGAAACTAGGTAAACGATGAATACGTGATAAACTGCGTTGTTTTGTTCGTGAAATATTTGAAAATTCTCTTGGTGTACGGTGTAAACGGCAAGCGATGAAACCTAATAAAAAAGAGTTGTATTTTTTAAGTTGAAGATAGTCAAATGAGATAAATTTACTAACTTTCATTTATGTATACAGCGAATGAAAACAACAATCAGAATAGAATTTTTTCTTCAAAATTCTCTTTATTTCGAAGTTACTCATCAGCTGCTTACACCCTAATATCAAATTTAAAAGAAGGGAATTATACAACCGTAAGAGTAGAACTTGTTTATCTGGAATTGTACACAATGATGAATTGTTATTAACTGGAAAACTTTGTTAGCACAATTTATTGCTCATACCCTTATCAATTCTTTAAATGCTTTACTCAATTTACCAGTTCATAAATGCACGGAAAATATTATAATGCTAAAGTTATTTAAATGAAATAGAAACGAATTGATGAATAATGGTTATAATAACGACTAGTCTCAGATAACCTATTTCAGATAATCAATATGATGCTTCCCTCTCTAATTCAGTTAGATTTCGATTAGGATGAGAAGTCTTGACTGACTAGGCAACCAATGTGAATACGATCAAGCGGTAGTAAGGCGTTACAACGAATTCGTATGGTGATCAGGCAAAACCCTTGGTGATTGAACTGAAATAAAAATCTGGTCAGCACTCAGACCTCGTAGCTCAGTTGGTAAAGCACTGAGGCGATAATCATGTGGTCGCTGGTTTGAATCCACCAGCAGTCCTAATTTTCATTTCACCTACAATCATCATCCAGTATAAATACTAGTCCGCCAAACTACGGTTATCTCAGATTAAGATAGTCAAGTGATAATACACATAAATTATACACAACCATCCACAAACTCAAATAATCAAATTTTAATTATAATTCTATACCCATTCCTAATTGCTGACTTAATGTTGTGTTAACGAAATTGATTTGATAAGTGTTTAGAACCTGATGACAAGTTATTGAAAAGAATATTCTTCGTTCATATTTGACTTTTAATATATAAAATGGAAATCTTTAATTGTCTAAGATTGTACAACAAAATGAAACAGAAAGAAAGCAAGAGAGGCGCCAACACCCCCCGCCCTCCCAATGCAGTGCAAGTTGAACTACACATGTCTTTGTATACATAAATTGGTTTTAAAGTGAAAGATGTAAAATTCTAGGGTTGCTTTATCTAATAATCACATAGAAAGCAGTTTAAATCTCACTACACTACATGACCCATAATCAAGATTTTCACCTTTTCTTAATACAGTGACTGTTATTCATGATTCACATCAGACTTACAGCTCAAACAATAATGAGTTATATTCTCAAGAATTTTACAGAATACATTTTAAGTACTAACAGTCAAAGAATATAGAAGTAGTATTCATCATGGACTGACATCAGTTGGGGAACCATTGGAAATCTGGGAGCACTGAACAGCTGTTTCGTCCTAGTATGGGACACCTCAGTAGTACGCACCCACGACCTGGCTAGGGATCGAACTCAGGACCCTCAGGTTTCACGGCGAACGCGTTAATCATTCAGCCACTGAGTTAGTTTCCAGTGGTTGCATACTGCTGATGAGTTCCATACTAGGACGAAACAACTGTCCAGTGCTCCCAGATTTTCAATGGTTCCCAACTGATATCAGTCCATGATGAATACTACTTCTAAATTAAAAATCCCCATTCATCTCAAAAATACATTACTCTATAGTGCTCATTAGTGACTTGCTTCCAGATGGATATCAGGAAGTTCTAATGAGAAGCCGTGACCTGTGAGGTCAACCAGTCGGAAGTGAAGTGGATGATAACTGAAGACCTTGGGTGACAGTTGCGCTACGTCGTGAATTGACAGAAGTTTGAAATTGTGAACCACTGGAAACCGACCCAGTGGCTGAATGGTTAACGCGTCTGTCATGAAACCTTAAGGTCCTGAGTTCGACCCCTAGCCGGGTCGTGGGTGCGTACTGCTGAGGAGTCCCATACTAGGACGAAACAACTGTCCAGTGCTCTCAGATTTTCAATGGTTCCCCAACTGATATCAGTCCATGATGAATACTGCTTCTAAATTAAAAATCCCCATTCATCTCAAAAATACATTAGTCAAAGAATATGTTCATAAATCAACTAATCTAAAACAAGTAGGTGTATGATTCGATTGTTTGAAATGTGTTGAGTAAATGCATAAGACGATTTAGACAAATCATGTATTCTTATTAATCTGCCCTGAAATGGAGCTGTGACTGATTGGTTTAAAGGAGATGACTTTCAACTAATGGGTCACTGCTCTGAGCATCACTCTACCAATCGAAGCGTTTGTGCAGCTGAGTAGTATCATCAGCACTCACACAAAAAGGTGTAGCCCATTGCCTACTACTGTATGAATATGCACAAGGTTGCTGAGTGTACTTCAAATTCAAATCTATCCCAACTCATTAAGAGAACTAATTGTTTGAAATATCGAACTAATGTTTTTCATGTATAATCATTTCAGACGGTAAGTATACAACCTATTTAAATTCATATATTCTCTTTATGATTTACAAATTAGGGTAGTACCATTATCCTAGTTTTATTCTATTCAGGGGTAACAACTATAAAATCACTGGATCCATTTTTCAGTTCCCGTAGTTCAGCTAGGATGTGCATTAACGTCTAGCATATTATAATTCCAAATTGACACATTCCTACATTGAATTATTCAAGCTTCATTGATACTTTTTGTTTGAAACTTGACGTGTTGCATGAAAATAATTACACATCTACTAGACAAATAAAAATGCATTCTTAAAGACGAGCAGAACACTGAAGCAGTGTTCATCGGGCTCTCAGCTACTCTTCATTTGCTCACTACCAACTCGCAAGCTGGATGGTAAACTAATATGTGGTTCAAAAGAGAAAACTGATAGTAATGTTCAGCAGTGGGAAAGAAAAGCGAGTTTTAATGGAACACCACAAGAAGCACTTAAGATTAGTAATCGAATAACATCAGTTAGACTAAATAACTTGGTAACGGTTATTCAGGGCTTAGACATGGTTCCATCTAACTGACCTTTCTTGGTGATAGTCTACAAAGGAGGACAAAACCCTGCTGTGATAACTCTGAAGTTAACTAATTTAATTTACAAAGATCTTAGGTTTCATAACCACTGGGTGTATGACTATGACACGATGATAAAGAAAGCAGAAAATGCAGGTAGGTTTAGAATTTGCTGGCGGCTGGATCAATCAAATGTCCTCCCCTCCCCCCCCCCCTCCGACAAGTCCTAGAACCCAGACAAGCCTACAGGAGCTAGATATGAAGGTGAAACTCGATACCGCTGATGTGATTTGATGCATCTTGGATTGCAACATATTCTTTCCTGGTTCCATGGTGGTAATGTATTTAATCACTCTACTATATAACTTCAATTATCTTTGAATTATGAATCAATTACTTCTAATGAAGATAACTGTAATAGAAAAAATCATCATATTTGAACTAACTTACCACGTGTGATTAGAAATCTTAATGCATCATCATAACCTTGACTGGCTAGAATAGCCAACTGATCCGAACTCATTGGCCATACCATTCCAATAAAACGTTCAATATTTGTCAAATTGAGACGCATTGTAAGATTCAATAATGTTATTGAACCTAAAACATCTTCATAACTTTGTGGTTGTGCTCTATGATATTGTGGACCCCATTTCGATTCTAATGGACATATATCTGCATCACCGGCGAATGGACTAACTTTAATTGTTTGCTGATTTATGTTAAGCAAGTTGTCTGATAATCCACCATCAAGTACAAGCTGAAAGTAAAGGGTAAACTCAGTTAACGTCTCATATAATGCTTGAAGATATCCAAAATTACTTCAGGAAATGTACGTCCAGAGTTCGTACAACGTGATGAGACTATAATGACATATAAGATTGGTATATTCGGTTTATTTTCGGTTTAGTAACATAGAAATTAACCTCGACCACACTAGGGCATATGGGCGTTAATTGGACCAGGATTAAGCTGATATACTCATGGGTAGTGAAATGAGTCCTAAAAGTTATTCACTCAGTAATACTGTATTGCTGTATAATATGTATCAAATGAGCAGATTAGGTAAGAAGGAATCCAGACAAAAAGAAACTTCGGCAATTACATTCAAAATAATGGAGATTATTTCTAGCTCAGGTGGGTGGTCTTGGTTGTATTGTGTTCTCTGAGCAGGGCTGTTTAATCGTGGAGCTTTCATCGCCTTTTTAGACAACATCATCAGCACTGACCCAATTAACGCCCATACGCCCTAGTGTGGTCGAAGTTAGTTTTTACTTTACTGTCAACATCTCTCCATGAGTGATACAGTAGCTTGCCCTCACGAACTGGTTTGTGATTGGTTGCTTCCTTTGATTGTTGTGTCATTGACTGCATAAATTTTCCTGTTGGCTGTTCCTCTGTTTGACCTCTGACCTTCCAGTCGCTTGTCACTTTCGTTATTGGTTGATAAATCGGGTCTATGTCTATACATCTATTGATTGCTGACTGACTGACCTGAATGCCAAGCTTCTAGGGATTCTCTGATGATACTCTTTGTGTTCTCCCTGTCTAACATCGCTACATAGTCAAAACTGAACCTATGTCCATAATTATCCATGTGCATTGAAATGAGTGATGAAATGTCATGACGTTTAATAGCCAACTGGTGTTCATGTAGACAAAGGTGAGGAGGGCGACCACTTTTTCCAATGTAGTGTTGACTACAGACATTGCAGTTGATTTTGTAAATGGTGTTCGATTTGTCTTCCTTGGTCGTTGTGTCCTTTGAGCTGCACAATAGGGTTTGGAGGGAATTTGTTGGTTTATAAACCAACCAACTGTCTAATGAGTAATTAAGAATGACGTCGTTTACTGCCTAGTAATTGCTCTGAATAGTGAACTCGGTGAATAGGTATTTATATACACAGTGATGTGTTTAATGAGGAATAGTTGACTCCATTAGTGATAAAATAATCCATAAGCTCATTCACTTGATAGTAAATCCTTAAACAAGTTCAAGTGATCAACAATCTTCAACTTCATTGTGAAGTCCTGACCTAGTGATGAACTTCGCACACAAGTGTATCGGCTCAGGTTGCCATACTTTACAGAAGTATACAAAGAACAAGTAAATGGAAAAGGAGTGACATTAAAGTAGATAAAGTAGTGTGACAGAATAAACAACCTGAAGATAAATGTTATTGCGAATATTCGAGCTTTAAATGACAAGGAGTGAATATATCTGCGCCATCGAGATCAACTCCCAGCCATGCCATCCAGTGTCCCCAACCACACTGATTCCTTTCATCTCGCGGACCCCAACCAGGTAGTCTACATCTCCCTATACGACTCAAGCCAACAGTCAGGGACTTTACCAACTGGTGCCACGTCTTCGTCTGGTCATCCGGAACCCTTTTCTATCCTAATCCAACTTCTCCTAGGGTCGCACATCGACATAGGCAGTGGCTAACTAATGATGAAAAGTTCATGGTCAAATATTAAAACGTAGAAGATAACAAGTAATCATCATCGTCATCAGTGGCTACAAACCTTCTCCGCCATCTAACCTTCCTTTATAACTTTATCTTATAACATAAAAACCGCAATTCGTAGTAACAATAAGAAATGCTAATAACAATTAACTTTCAATAAATATGTTAAACTGAATCAATATTGCTCAAGAAAGTTGAATTTAAAGTTTGCATACACAGTAAACCTCAACACTGTGAAATCTGATCATCACAGTTCTCATAAGCTTAGTGGACATCTATATTTATGAATAGTCTTTTTAAGACCTTTACGGTTTGCAAACTTGACTAAACAGCTTTAAAACTGTCATATACTTGATCTGATAACTTTGAAGCAAAAATAAATAAAACACACTGAAGTACATTATTAACCCAATAGTAAGCTCATTACTGTTACGATTATACAGTCGTTTTAATTAAGGTAATACGACGCTTAGGACCATATTATCCAACTGTACATACATATATTTGTAACAAATTTTAATTCTTTGAGTAAAATATCGTAGTCACATAAAATTTCTGGACATAAAGTTTGTAAAGACGAATTATTGATCTTAACAGAAAAGATTTACACTACTTCTATACAATAAATTCTCTAATTAAATGCTTAAATATACCATTTACCTCTGAACAATGAAAACAATTCAATCACAAAGAATTTCTGTTAGTTAGACACTTTTCCTGAAGGTCTTTTCGTAAGATTAAGTTTGGAAAGACAAATCAATGTAGGACCTGACATAAAAGTGCATCATTTTAAGTTACCATACAACACACAGTAACATACAAAAAAGTAAATAGAAGAAATGACACTTAAATAGACAAAAGTATACGACAAGAGAAAGAAGTAGATGAAAGTTAATAAGAATTTTTAACATTTCAGAAATAACATACAGTATATACGTATGCAAAATTGTTAAATTCGGGCATTGTGGTAGAATTTAATCCCTATAAAAAATTTTTAGTTGATAAATTATTATTTCAAGTTGTTATTCATCATAGACTGACATCAGTTGGAGGAACAAAGGAAACCTGGGAGCACTGGATAGCTGTTTCGTCCCAGTATGGGACTCCTCAGCAGCGTCCTCAGCAGATGATTAAACCGATGAAAGAAATTTTGGAGTTGATTGGCAAAACATTATTCAAATATGCTATATCTTTAATTTTTCAACCAGAGTATTCACAAATATCCTGATAAGTGGAATAGTCGATGAGTCAAATGTCTATTAGAATCATTGAAAGTAGGATGGATGTAGACAAATCATGAATCAATATTATGTAGTTTTGAGGCGCATATAACCATCTAAATATACTGTTGCTCTTAAATAAAAAACGCTGTTAAGAGGTCAAATCTAATACGAATAAGCAGTTCTAAACTGAATTCGGACTACAAACATGTGCATATAAAACCAATATTTGGAAAGCAAGAGATAATAAATAAATAAAGCTTTGAAAATGTATCCAACAAATCAAATTGTAAAGTGAATATTCCAATTGGAATGATTTCCCTTCATAAATTTATGTGAAAGTTCACTTTACAGCACTATACCCTAGATTACAAGTCATTAAACTAACCAAATACACTTTATAAGTAGGATTTTCATTCCTAGTAAAGTACGGCTGCGATTCATTAATCTAAACACACAACTTTCAAACAGTAAGTTATTGGTTTGAAATATACTCCATTAACCATGGTTTGAGCAGCCGATAGGCAATATCAGCATTCACAAAAGACGTGAAGTTTATTGCCTACTACACGAATACATATATGGTTTTTGAGTAACACTGAGTTCAAATTTTTCCAGTAAAATAAACCATACTTTTTGAAAGAAGATGGTTTATTTCGCAACTGAACAACTTTCCTATGCTTTTTAGAGTGCCTAGCTTTTTCTCTAACAGCCTTACTTGATTTTGACATACATATAAGACTAGTGAACGTTATTCAGTATAAATATCTGGAGGCTTCAAAATCTAGGAACACCTCCGGTATAGTTCGAATCACATATTTCTGCAAACCAAAACAATCAATCACTGCAATTATCCCAATAAAACTACTTAACTTTCTCACCGTATCAAAAGCATCATTCAGAACAAATACTAGCGGTGAAATCCAGTTTCAATGGATATCTTGATGGAGGCCTGATGCTTTGTTATGCTCTAGTTTATATATGACTTCTATAATCGAAAATATTTGAAAGGCTTCAATCAATCAACCATATGAACAGTGGAACTCAAGAAAGAAAGCTGAAACAGTGGTCCACCAGCTAACCGAGTCAATGGAGGAGACATTTAATCCGTTCATCAGAAGTCATATGGCAGTGTTCGCCTTCAAAAGGAGCGTAGAGCAAGTAAATTATTCAGGTCAGCTTTCTCTACTCTAAAATCTACAGTCGTGCAGCAACTTACAGAGATTTGCATCTGAAATAATGACAACCAATGATGTCTTCTAAGGATTTTCACTGTCATTGTTTCTATTTAAGCTTGTTATAGACGTACTGATTGGAGTTTCTCTGCCTACTTTACTTTAAACAAAGGATATCTGGCTAACTTGAAGGACATGAAATAGGTATTTTAACAACGCTGACAAATTTCAGGGTTGTCTGAATAGCTTGAGAAAAACGTTAGGTTTTTTTCAATGTGCATTTCATACTAGCCAAATTTAAGATAGTGCTGAAGGACTGACTACTGAATAAAAATACATCAGCGATTCGCTTACTCTGATATTTTTGTCCCCTTTAAAGGAATGATTGCCAACGAAACTTTGGAAAAAATAGAAACGGTCAGTTCGACACCTGAAAACCTGTGCTATCTCTATATTCAGCGAGAAATGCCACTACCGACCAAAGGGTGGGTGTACTGCACAACATAACCTTCAGTATTACTGCAAAAAACTGATCGGTAAAGATAGAAGACAAGGAAAACCTTCAGCTTCTTGATAAAAGATAGTAATTTTATTTGAGGTGAAATAGCAGTGACCAAATTTGAGTTTAGGCGGAAATTACTGGGTAAGGAAACCTAGTCAGTCAATGAGATTCTAAACCACCAAGCAATGAGATAGATGGAATTTATATTTCACGTACTGAGTAAGCGCATACCTAGAAATGTGATGTCAACCGAAGTAAGTTTGGGTTGGGAGAACGATAATACCGACCAGATCAAGAATTTCGGTAGTGTTGTACTGAAGTTCAGGCTGTTAGACTGGGTTTCCGGAAGCACTAAAAGTCAGTTTCTGAAGCGCTTTCGTGAAATAGCTAAA